TTTTGGCACAAATTCATTGTGAAACCACAACTTTGTCATGCCATAAAATTAGCAAATATTCGAGCAACATAATCCACTCCTCATTTGCTAAGTTAACCTAGCTGGAAACGAAAACCATCTGGTTCTACTAAGGAAAGCCTGACAAGCTACCACTATTACTAACCATTCACAACTGTTTAAAAAGACAGAATATTAGACATAAACATTTGAAACCTAGGCCATCTTGTGTCTGCGGTGCTTTATTTATCAAATATTTCCAGCATTTTTGACAAACTGATGGAAGTATTTGGTGAGATTTCCCATTTGTGTTTGCATTACTGTCTATCATGAAATACTACTGTTGAAATCTTCATCTTCTAGGTTAGCATACCCAAATCCACATCAAAAAAGGAGGAATCGGTGAGAGCAGCCTTCGTTCTTCTTCTTCATATAACTTCTTGTAGTAAGCATTCCCTTTTCATAAGTGCTTATGAGAAGTCTCTTGCTGATAACACTAACTCTGTAACCTTGGCAGTGAACGCAAGAATCAACTTTAATCGTCAACTTTATTATCTTCCAATAAAAGTTATACTGCTACTTTAGAACATCAGTAACGCTATTTTCTAGTGAAATCTATCGTCCAAACTTTTATATATTTCCTTCAAAAATGGAAAGTTTACCATTGTCTAGTTTCATGGAGTAGAAAACTCTCAATTTGTCCACTTATGCCCACACACTATAGTGTATTGTACAAAATTTTATTCTTCCATATTTTAGAATAAAGTTGAAGTTTCAGAGGAGCTTAGCATATTTTCTTCCCAGTATTCAGTGCATTCATTTGCTACTAATAAATCACAGTAAATTAGCCTTCACCTGGATTAAACTGGGTCTTTTTCAACTGCATTGAACATGGTTTTGCAAGCAGTGGCTTGGCACCTGGTTGTCTTAAACCGTAAATTCAAAAAACGGAATTTCATAATTCTAGTCGTCTTGCCTAAATTTGGTTGGCATAGGAACGAAAAGTGATTTCTTTGTAAAGACATTAATGGTGTCATATAGATATCAAAATCTATAACCCCATTTATAACGGTAGAGACTGTACCGTTGCATGATTTAATCAAAATAAGAACTACCAAATTGCCGAAAAAGTTGTAAAATATGGATGCGTTATGAAATTGCAAGATATTAAGAAGGTGAGGAGGGCATGGTTTTAACAAATATACATAAATCCAAGTAATTACTGCATCATATTATTTCAAGAATAAGTAGGGATTGGTTAAATTCCATCATGAAATGAAATGACATTGTATGACGCAAACAATTGGTGATTATTTAGTAAAGGCACTTTAGCCATCATGTGATTACATAATACATGAGAGTATTAACATTAAATTATCTCTGCAGCTCTACCAAATTAGC